TTTTCTTCTTGGTCCCACTCTGGAGCAGGCTGGGGCTCCTGATGACTAAAGGCGACCTTGCCTTTTTCTGTGCCAGTGTGGATGGCGGTGATTTGTCCAAGACCCCCTTTTTGGGAATGGCCTCGTGGTGCTGCCTTTTGGCCTACAGGCTTCATTGGGGAGCTGGGAGCTCCATTCACCTTGGACAGCTTCCGGTTTTTCTTATGCAGTTTTGTGGACTTGGCAGGGGTGTTGGGGCTCAGGGTGGGAACGCCAGGGACTGGGCCCTTGGTGGTAGGCATCCCGTTGGCCTGGTCTGGGACCTTGGCCTTTGTCCTCTTGCTGCATGTGCTGGCTGGCTCCCGCAGGTGGCTGCAAGTGTGCCATCCTCTGACCTGTTTCTTGCAATTCTTTGTCTCTGGCAAGAATCCCTTTTTCTTCTGCTTCCTGCTGATGGGGCTCTGAGTGGCGCTGGGGATCTCCTTGGTATCTTTCTCCAACTTGGGGTGCCTGAAGGGGAATAAGCTGGTAAAAAGGTGCCCAGTGAGGGCAGCAGCCACCTCCACCCAGGTCCCGTGGGGTTCCAGAGGCCCAGGGATCCCACATCTGTGTGTGCGCAGCAGTGTGAGGGTGATCCTCATCCCCTGCCCAGTACCTACTGAACTCCCAGGGTTTTCATGGCCTGCCAGTAGAGGTCAAGTAGGCGGCTGGAGCCGGTGGAGTGCACCCCCTGCCTCAGGCCCTGCTGCTGCCCCTGCAGCATGCCCAAGAGCACTGTCAGGTCCAAGGTCAGCTTCTGCAGAGGATGGGAAGGCAGGGCGGTGGTGGCCACAGGGGCAGGCCTCTCTGGGGCTCCTGGTGGTCTTCCCACCTTGGCCCCGTTGCTGTCTCACCAGCAAACCCTGCAGTCTCCTGGGCCTCAGCCTCTTGTTCTGCCTGTTAAGGCATCCGTGTCTGTCTCTCCATTGGAGGAAACACATGCCCAGGTGTTGGTTCTCCTCCCCACAGCTGCAGGCCTGGTCTGAGTCTCCACCGTGGCACTGGTGCACCCACCTCCAAGAGGGCCATCCCCACCACTCCATCACCGTGGGGCTGCCAATGCCTTTCCTCCAGCCTCCCTGCACTGTTGGAATCTGCTGGTTTCCAGGAGCCCTGATCTCCTGGCTTCGTCGCTATCACCCAGTTTTGCAAGGCCCCATCCCAGGCCCCACCTCTGCCTGCTGGTGTAGCCTTGGCAAGCTCTCCCTCCATAAGGGCTGACTGGCACTTATGCTGAGGCCTCCCAAACCTTGCCCTCTAGGCCAGACTAGGGGACCGAGATGGCCACCTACAGCTGCCTCCCAACCCTGACCTGTGGCTGCCCAACATGTCACATTCCACCCATCCACACCCTGCACGAGGCCTGAAAACATGGCCTCCCTAACGTATGTCCACCCTGAGTCTTCTCCCATCCTTCACCATCTCCAGCCCTGCCAACCCCTTCTCAGCTTTCTCACCGGACATGGCAGTGCCATACCCTTGCACCCTGCCCTGCAGGACAGGGTGGCGCAGTCCCTTCCCTAGTCACTTGCCCATCCACAGCTCTGTAACTGCTGAGAACCTTCCCCACATGACCCCCACCCCCGAGGTCTGGCCTGGGTAATGGCACTGATGCCGGGAGGCCCTGAGGCCCCCAGGAGGAACCCGACACTGCCCTGGGCTGGGCCCCACCTCACCTCGTGTTTACATGTCCTGAAGACAGTACTGAGCAGCTCCAGGGGGGACAGCACCTGCTGGTGCTCTGCCTTGGTCTGCGCAGGTTCTGGGGAGGGGTGGCCAGGCTGAGGTACTCTGGAGGGCTGTCAAAGCCTTTGTTTCCAAGCAGGGACTAAAGCCCAGAGGCAGGGACCATCTCCTGGGACAATCCCAATTCCCTGTCTCCCCACCCCCCACACTCCGGGAGGCTCAGGCTCCAATCCTGGCTTTTCCTCTCTCAGAGAACCGATCCCGAGCAGGCCAGGAGGAAGGGTGCCCCCCAGCTATTACCTCCATGACCTTTGTCAGGACCTGGCTGATCAGCTGCTTCTGCTCTGGGTCCTGGAAGCACGACCTCACCTTCCACATGGACAGGGTCTTCTGGAGCAGCAGGCAAGCTTGTGCCTGTGGTTGGGTAAAGGTGGTGGTGCCTGGAGCCTTAGCATGTTGGGTATGAGAGGCTGAGGGGGGTGAGGGGGCCTGCCAGTCATGGATGTGGGCGGCGTGCAAGGCCACCTGCTGCTCTGGACTCCGTGACCACCTGCTCTCGTGCCTTCATGTACAGGTGGGGGCATGGAGGCCTCCCAGCTGGATAGAGGTGGGACCTCAGGCAGGACAATTCCTACCCATTCCTGGCTAATGCCATCTTCATTCAGTCAGTCTGCCCCCAGCAGTCCTGGCACCTGATCAGACACTACCACGGTGTCCTCTGTGTGGCCAGATGGGCAGTGGTGGCTGTGGGAGTGAAGCTGGCCCCGCCCCCTTAGTGCCTCCATGCTTGGTGTGGCAGGGACGGCTGCACCCGTGTTCACCAGGCCAGCACTCTGGGGCCTCAGAAGCAGGTTACATGGGCCCTGGGCTGGGAGCCGGGAAGTCTCTTACCTGCTGGTGGGGCCGCCCTGGGCTTGTGACATGCTAGACCAGGACAGGGAGCAGGCTCTTACAGAGCACCTGGCGGGGAAGGGAGGGTTGTGAGGTGTGGGTGGGGCTGGGGCTGAGAGGGGACCCCAAGTGGGCAGGGTGGGCCCTGACACTCACTGGGTGCCAGGAAAAGAGGCTGAGGAACATGGGGACCGTGAGGGGGCTGTGGCGCTTGGTCAGGAAGGAGCTCAGTACTGATGAGTAGACGCATATCGTGAAGTTCAAGTCCAGGCAGCCGGCAGCCTAGGCCAGGTGAGAGAGCTGGCTGAGGCCAGGAGAGGGCCTCTGGGATGGGAGGAGACTGGGCTAGCTTCGGATGGTGGAGGGTGAGTTCTGGGGAAGTGTGAAGTGCATGGGCTCTGCCTGGGCCAGGCCCTGCTCACCTGTGAGCCCTCGGTCATGGGGCTGGGGTTGGTGCTCCTCCTGCGTCTCATGCACGCACCCCTCGGCAGTGCCGCCCTTCAAGACTCAGAGCAGGTAGAGGGAGGCATTGAAGTGGTAGAGGGTGGTGGAGTCGGGCTGGCGGCCTCGATGCGATCACCCAAGTCGTGGCAGTAGATACGGCCACGGCACAGGTGGTGGCTGCAGGTGGTGAGGACAAGAGCTGGTCAGAACAATCTCAATCCACCCCGCTCTGCCAAGCAGCACCAAGCAAGTCCCACTTTACAGGTGAGGAAACAGATCTGGAAGACAGATGTGACTGAGGACACAGAGGAAGGCAGGGCTACTGGCAGCTTGCTTGGGAGCTATGTGAGCTCATCGTGCTTGGGCAAGGGGGCACCCCACAGGGGGAACAGAACAGTTCCCCAAGTGGGGGGCTGCACCAGGGCCAACCACCGCCTGGCACACCTCTCCTGTCCATACTCATCCCTCGTGGGGAAGTGGCCTCCAGGCCTTTTGTAAAGCGAGGCAAGGGTTCTTCTGCACTCAGAACCCTATGTGGCCCTGCAGGGCCAGGACAGAGTGGGGACAAGAGGCAGGATGCTCAATGAGTGACACTGTCCATGCACACTGGCAGAACTATCTGAGAAGGTGTGGCCTGGGGTGGAATGGAGGATGACCACCAGTCATGCCCCCCACCCTGCAGACCATCCATGCAGTGCCCAGGGGCCCAGGCCTTCAACTACCCAGCACCTAAGCCCTGAAGGCAGGTCTGCACCTGACGCCTGCCTGGCTCTCCCCCGCCTGCCATCACCTCCCTGCTAGACCTGCCTCCAGCACAGCCCTGCCCAAAGCCTTCTCCACACCGCCAGCCATTTCCAAAAAGGGAAACCAGATCCAAAGCCTTCCCCACGCCAAATGTCCCTGCTGAAAATGCCTCTGCGGCCCCAGCCCCACTAGGGTCAGGCCTGCGAGGTTACAGGGGTCTGTGGCCTCACGCCTCACCTGACCTCCCAGCTGGATGTCTGACCTGCCTCACATCAGTGCTCTTTCCCCTTTCTGCACTCCCCAAGGCCTCCCAACCTGACAAACTCCCACATACACTGCACCTCTGAGGACTGGGTGTGTGTCCCCAGCCACAGGTGGTGCCACTGTCCCCACCCACCCCGACACAGCCCCACTGGAGACTGTCAGGGGCTGGGATGGAACCCAGCTCCAGGGCACCACTCGCACATGTCAGGAGAACACCGGGATGGACCAAGGACCATGTGAGTCACTGAGTGACACGTGACCTAGGGCTGAGTGGTGAGCCTGCAAGCTAGGGCCCAGGCTGGAAGCTTGGCTCTCTCTTTCCTGTACAACAAGCAAGCCAGGAGTTCTGCCTGGGGCTGGGGGCTGGGGACTGCTGGCCAAACCCGCCAGCCTTGCCCCCGTGCTCACGTGAGGATGCACACAGTCTTGTGCAGCAGGTCCTGCTCCTGCTTAGAGCTGCTGCTGCGTAGGCTGCACCAAATGATGCCCAGCAGCGGCTCCAGCAGCTCCAGAGGATCAGGACGTTCTCAGGCTGCTTGGTCACCAGCACCTCCACCAGGTCCAGCACCTGCAGCTGGGAGAGCTGGTCAGCAAGGAGGGGGCAGGGCATGGGCGGGCGGGGGGCGGTGATGGAGGCAGTGGAGGCACCAGCCCCCAGGCTCACTCAAATCTGGAAGTCACTCTGCAGCACCTTCTCCTTCTGTGGTTTGCTCTTCTCGTCCTGCCGGGCCTGGATCCACAGCCTCTGCTCAGCAAAGAGACTGGCGAGGTTCTGGTCCAGGACCATCATGGCCTCATCCCCCAGCTCCTCCTCGTCCTCACTTTCCACTCCACCCTGAGGGACAGAGGCCCAGCAGTCAGCCTGGCTTCGGGCAGGTGGACACACAACATAGGGACTCAAGAGCCCTCCCCGGCTCCGCTCACCAGTGCCTTTGCAGCCTGCAGCACACTCATCAGCTGTACCCAGAAGCCCTGGTCCACATCTTGTCCCCAACATCGCTCTCATCTTCACTCTCTGAGCCTCTGCTCTCCTCACCATCCTCGTGCTTTTCCTGTGGGGTGGTGGCAGGCTCGTCACACACCTCTGCGATCTTCCCACTCCTGCCACCCCACCTGGCCCGCACTGGCAGCACCTCTGCAACCTTCAGCTGCTGCTCATCAGACTTGTCCATCACCACCACATGGTCATCCTCATCCTCACTGGTCTCCGAGTTCAGCACCTGGGGAGGAGACCCAGCCACTGACCCATCTGTGGCCCCGCCCTCCTGACCAGGCCCTGCCTGCCATTGGCCAAAAGTCCCCATTTCAGGGAAGAAAACAGAGCCTAGGAGAGGTGGCCACACCCTGCAAGGACAGGACAGGGCCTCATTGAGACCCCTCCCACCAGGCACAGGCTGGCAGGAGGGAGGCTAGGAGGCTGAAGCACTCTCCTACCTGGTGCAGCTCCCTGCTCAGTGAGCCCCAGCACAAACAACTCACATCCAGAATCAGCTGTAGGGCACGCGGGGTCAGGTGGGAGCAGACGTGGTCGAACATGCTCTGGGCCACTTGACACATGAGGTGGCTGGGCTGGGCCAGCAGGGCCAGCAGGATCTCCACCAGCACCTCTACCCATGGCAGCTCCTGGGGATCTGCAAGAGGGTGGATTGAGCCCAGGCAGGGGACCGTTGTCCTCACTGCACCACTTCAGTCCCTCTCGTACCCAAGGATACACCCTGTCCCAGAAGCAAGGACCCACCAATGGCCTTGGTGCGGCTCCTATGGCATCTCTCTCCCAGGCTGTTTCTGATGTAGGTCTGGATGTCACCCAGCAGGTCACAGCTCTCTGTAGGGGACTGGGGACAGGGTAGGACACGCACTGCGGACAGCCCTTCTGAGCCAGGCAAGGGGCTGGCCAAAAGGCAGCAGTGGCACCAGAAGCCTTCAACAGCCCAGCCACTGGCCGGCCCCAGCCAGCCACCCCGAATGGAAGACCTCAGCTGGACCCCAGAATACCAAGGGCTGAGGGCCTTTTTACACCTAATATGCAGTTACAGGATCTGAAAACCTGCAGGGGACAGAAAAGGAGGCCAGCTCCCACTTTGACACTCAAGACAGACAGAGCTGACAAGGATGGTCAGGGTCCCAGAGTAGCCAGCAAACCCCAGCCCCCAATTCATAATTCTAAATGATTTCCTCCATGTTTGGCTCGGCATGAGGCAGAATTGAAAGTCGTTAGTTTCAACTAATTTAATCATATCTGAACTCACCTGACGGGACAGCCCTGGACTCCAGGGACTGAAGTGGCGGAGTGTGTGCCTGTGCAGGGCATCTTGACAACTGTGTGATCTTTGGTACCTAAAAGACAGACTTTTCCCTCAAAATGCAGTGGGCAACATTTAGGCCAGGGTAGGAAAAGCAGCCCAAAGCCCTGGTCACTGCCCCCGGCTCCCAGGCTGTGTGCCACGCGGCTGCACCTTTTTAATTTATTCATTTTCTCTGAGACAGTCTTGCTCTGTCACTCAGGTTGGACTGCAATGGCACAATCTCAGCTCATTGCAACCTCCGCCTCCCAGCTTCAAGCGATTCTCCTGCCTCAGCCTCCTGAGTAGCAGGGATTACAGGCACCTGCCACCACGCCCAGCTAATTACATTTAAGTAGAGATGGGGTTTCAGCATGTTGTCCAGGCTGGTCTCAAACTCCTGACCTCAGATGACTCACCTGCCTCCACCTCCCAAACTGCTGGGATGACAGGTGTGAGTCCCTGTGCCCGGCCACAGCTGCACCTTTTATCTGAAAGTGGGCACAGCAAACTGCAGCCTCCTCTGTGCAAGTCAACACCAGAGACCTCAAGGTTTCAGGCTCCACGTATGTCTTGGAATCAGCAGGGCTTCACTGCTATCAAAGGTCTGATGCCAACACTCAGAAGGGGCATCATGGGCAAACTTTACCCACACAACCTGGGCTCGGACTAACCAAAGCTGGCAAGTAAAGCCATCACAGCCAAGAGGCCAGACGGGCAAGTGAGAGACCCACCTACTCAGGCTATGTAAGACCAGCAGCCTCGATAAGAGCTTCCCATGTTGTGAGAAGAAAACTCTCTAAGACTCAGGGTAAGGGCAGACGCAGTGGCTCATACCTGTAATCCCAGCACTTTGGGAGGCCAAGGTGGGCAGATTACCTGAGGTCAGGAGTTCAAAACCAGGCTGGCCAACATGGCGAAACACTGTCACTACTAAAAATACAAAAATTAGCCAGCACAGTGGCAGGCACCTATAATCCCAGGTACTCAGGAGGCTGAGGCAGGAAAATTGCTTGAACCAGAGAGGTGGTGCTTGCAGTGATCCAAGATCACGCCACTGCACTCCAGCCTGGGCAACAGAAAAAGACTCCATCTCAAAAAACAGACGGCCAGGCACAGTGGCTCATGCCTGTAACCCCAGCACTTTGGGGGGCGGATCACGAGGTCAAGAGATCGAGACCATCCTGGCCAATGTGGTGAAACCCCAGCTCTACTAAATACACAAAAAAATTAGCTGGGCGTGGTGGTGCATGCCTGTAGTCCAGCTACTGGGGAGGCTGAGGCAGGAGAATTGCTTGAACCAGGGAGTCAGAGGTTGCAGTGAGCCAAGATTGCACCACTGCACTCCAGCCTGGTGATGGAGACTCTGTCTCAAAATAATACAAAAAAACAGAAAAACAGACAAACAAAAGAGGAATCAGGATACTGAGTGCTGAATGTGGTCAGGGCTTCCTGATGGGAAGAAATGAGAGGGAGACCCCGTGGTTCTAGAGAACCCATGGCCAGAAGGTGTTCCCACAGCCAGCGTACAGTGCAGGTGGTAGGTCCAGGGCTGCCCGCCCCAGGTCTGCTCTGGTGCCAGCTTGAACTGCGTGCTGAGGGTCTGCAGCAGACTAGGTGACAGGCAGGGCTTGGTCACCAGACTGATGAGAATATAGCCGCCTCCCTCTGCCCTCCCCAGGGCTCAGTCTCCCAACTCTCCAGGACCTGCTAGGACTCCCTGGGCCTCAGCCGTTGTCCCCAGCATAGGGGAACTGCAGGAAGCAGGAGTCCTGAAGGCCTTTCCACCTTTGGACCTCTCCCAGGCTACCTCAGGCTCACCTGAAGAAGGTGCTGCTGACGGTCTCTTGGGCCTGGCATTCCAAAGGGAGGGAGAGCTGCTGCCTTGTCTCAGGGATCTGGGATGTGGGCTTCTTTGTGACGAAGAACAAGTGAACAAACACAATTGGGGCGGGGCGGGAGAGCAGCTGGTGCCGTTCACGGCCGTTTGTTTCCAGAACAAGTGAACAAACACAATTGGGGCGGGGCGGGAGAGCAGCTGGTGCCGTTCACGGCCGTTTGTTTCCATGGGCTCCCCTCCTCTGGTGGCACCACCCAAGTTCAAGACCAGGAGGAGGGGAGCCCTTTGACCCCTTCTGCTCTCGGTACAGTCCTCAGGGCCCTCACTGGCAAGGCTGGAGGTGGCTGGGCCAGGAAGGGCTGGATCCCCAGCTGAACATGGCTCAACCTGAGCTGGGGAGAGGAATCAGTGCCCCCTCAAAGAACCAAGAGACGTGAGGCTGTGTGGTTATGGCCGAGTCACGCCACTGCTCCTGGCAAACATGGGGTCAGTGCAGCCCCCTCCTGCGACCGGGCACACTGAGGGTGAGGTGAGCACCCGGCTCTGCTTGGACACAGATGAGGCAGGTGTGGGGCAGGCTTCCCTGATGCCACCCATGGGCAAAGGCTCCCTGCAGGGCACGCACAGCACACCCAAACCTCTTAGGCGCCTGCAGCTGGGGTGCCTCCTGGGTCTCTTCCCTACAGGCTCCCTGAGGAATTCCAAGTCCCCTTGTGCCTGCTCCCCACTGATGACTCAACCCAAAAGGCTTCTGGCTCCAGAGGACACAAACCAGAATGAGTTGAGGGGCTCATTCCTTGACCACATGCCCACGGGAAGCTCCAGCCCTCTCGTACCTGGCCACCTCCTCCGTCAAGGCCTCCTCCATCCCTAGGTGCAGGCTGTCCACAAGGCTCACCAGTCTGAGGATGATCCATTTCCGCAGCCAGAACACAGCTCGCTCAGGCCTGGGGCGCAGAGACGAGGTCACATGAGCCACTTAGAACTGGCAAAAGCAGGCTGTGCCCAGTGGCTCACACCTGTAATCCCAGCACTTTTGGAGGCCGAGGCAGGTGGATCGGTTGTGGTCAGGAGTTCAAGACCAGCCTGGCCAACATGGTAAAACCCCATCTCCACAAAAAATACAAAACTTAAGGCCGGGTGTGGTGGCTCATGCCTGTAATCCCAGCACATCGGGAGGCCAAGGTGGGTGGATCACCTGATGTCAAGAGTTCAAGACCAGCTGACCAACATGGAGAAACCCCATCTCTACTAAAAATACAAAAATTAGCTGGGCGTGGTGGTACATGCCTATAATTTCAGCTACTTGGGAGGCTGAGGCAGGAGAATCACTTGAACCAGGGAGGCAGAGGTTGCAGTGAGCTGAGATCACACCATTGTACTCCAGCCTGGGGGCAACAAGAGCAAAACTCCATCTCAAAAAAACAAAAATTAGCTGGGCATGGTGTGGGTGCCTGTAGTCCCAGCTACTGGAGAGGCTGAGGCAGAGACTCACTTGATCACTTGAACCCGGGAGGCAGAATTTGCAGTGAGCTGAGATTACATGCCACATGCCACAGCACTCCAGCTTAGTGAGACTCTATTGGGGGGGGGAGAAAAAAGAAAAAAAGAAAACAAATTATCAAAACAGGACATTCCTTTAACTGATCTCAGAGACAGAAAAACCAAGCTCTCTCGCTCCCAACTGCCAGTGCGGGACCTCGGTTTCCTTGAGAGCTATGGTGCTTTCCCTCTCTCTGCTCATGGGTTTAGGGCCAGGACACCGTGGGTGGGGGGGTGAGGGGCAGGGTCGCTGGGCTCTGCAGGCTAGAAAAGCTAACTCCTGAAGGATGACGGGTCCTTCGCACGGTCCACTCACACGTGCAGTGATGCATCCTGAGCTTTCTTCAGTTGTTGGTGCTTAAGTCAATCAAGGAGTCCAGGTTTGGCTGGAGAAACATGCCCTGCAGCCAGGCACATAGCCCTGCAGGGCCGGAGAGCTCAGGAACCGCACGACCCACCAGAAGGTAGGCACCACTGGGAGACTGTGGTTGGTGGTGGGGAAGAAGGCCACCAGCACGGCCAGCTGCTGCTCAGGGTCATACCAGCATCCCTCTAGGAAGTGCCCATGTATTCCTCCATCTCCGGGGTGAACTTGAACTGGTTTGGGAGCTGTAAGAGTTAGGCATGGTGCTGAGCCCACAGGCTTGTGGCCTTTAGGGTTAAACAGAGGCCCAGGGTCTCCCCTGGCACACAGCAGGGCTGAGCCTGAGCTTGCTCCATTCCTGGTCACCCCAGTGCTTCTGTCTGGCGTCAAGGCCTCCCCGGGTCTGACTTCCCCAGCTTCAGTGGCCTCTGGCCCCAAAAGGCCCCTCTCCGCCACACTGCTGAGGGGGATGGCCTGTTTTCCTGGCTCAACGCACAGGCAGAGCAGTGGTTAAGAGGCCAGACTGACCCAGGTTCAAGGCCTACGCCACCAATTCCTCACTGTGTCATCTTTGGGACCCAACCCAACCACCTCTAATGCGCTGCCTCGGGGCCAGGACCCGTGTTCCACTTTTTGTCTGGCAGCTTAGCATTTTAGCAACCCTTTGCGCTTGGCCATTACTGCCATTGTGTAGGTGAGTAAAGTGAGACACAAAAATGCCTAGAATAAAACTCCTCAGGGTCAGAGGGCTCCCAGCAGGACCACGTCTGGCCTCACAGCCCAAGCTCTTCTCATTTTAATTTTCTCCAGTTGTGCCCCGGGAGTGCAGTGCCACTATCACGGCTCACTGCAGCCTCGAAATCCTGGGTTCACGTGATCATCCCACCTCAGCCTCCTGAGTAACTGGGACTATAGGTGCACACCACCGCCCAACCCAGGCTCTTAACCACTGCCTGATGCTTCAAGTCTGCCCTCACCCAGAATGACAGCTCTCGGAAACTTGCTGCAAAGATAAAATGAGCTGCCGAGAACAGTAAACCCCAGCAGCGCTGACTGGGCACCAGGCACACCGGTGCTCAAACACGGTCATGACGACTGTTCTCATCACCGCAACATGGGCAGGGGTGGAGGGTGGTCTGAACACCCGCTGGCTACCCACATCTAAGTGGGGGCCCGCTCCTTTTCACAACTGTCAGAGGGAAGCCGGGAGCAGTGGCTCACATCTGTAATCCCAGCACTTTGGGAGGCAAAGGCGGGTGGATCACCTGAAGTCAGGAGTTTGAGACCAGCCTGGCCAACATGGCAAAACCCTGTCTCTACTGCAAATACAAAAATAGCTGGGTGTGGAGGTGGGCACCTGTAATCCCAGCTACTCAGGAGGCTGAGGCACGATAATTGCTTGAACCCGGGAGGTGGAGATTGTAGTGAGCAGAGATTGCCTCATTGCCCTCCAGCCTGGGTGACAAGAGAAAACTCCAACTCAAAAACAATCTGTCGGAGGGGAAGGGGTTCAGGCAGCTCACTACCCAGACAGTGGAGACACCCAGGTCTCTGGCCAGGCTCCTGAGTTGCCCTCTCACCGTCTTCTTGGCAAGGAGAGCACCTCCCTAGCCCTTCCAGCAGCATCGGGCTGCACAGGCGGTGCCCACCTTGGCCGTGCACATGTGCTCCATGTAATGGCAGATCACATCTCCCCGCATCACCAGCTGCAGCTGTTCCTTGGTCAGCAGGGGAAGGGCGGTGCCCAGCAGGCAGAAACACAGGTAGCTAAGAGGGACTATGGGACCGAGCATGGTCAGAGCCCTTGGTCCTCCGCAGGGACCTCAGGACTGGTAGTCCAGCCCCATTTTCACAGACAGGGAAGGGGCCGAGAGAGGCCACATGCCACACGCACCTGGCTGGTCAGAACTGCAGCTTCAGCAGCCCCTGTTCCACCATCCCCTTCCAGAACTGCAGAAACTTGTTTCCTTGAGTGCCAGGTAGAGCAGCTCCAGGGCGACGGCAGGCAGCTTTCATTCCTTCTTCACTGAGGACACTGACATCTTCAGCATGTTCACCCATCTGTGGGGGGCAGGGGATCAGGGAATGCTTGCCTCACCAGCAAGGGCCAGTGTGCCAAGAGTAGCCAGGGCACCCCCAGGCTACACAGCCAATCTGGGCTTGGCCAGATGCAGTCCCACAGCCCCAGGGAGAGCAAATCCATCCACCTCCCTCACACCTGGGAACATTCTCATCCGAAAATAGGTTGACGGATCCCACCAGCTTCTTGAGCCTAGAGGGAACATTTTCTGCTGGGCCAGGAGGAAGAGCCCCAGCTGTTCAGGACAGCTGAGCATCGCATCCAAGTCAGTGCTGAGGACCTCTGGCAGCATCTCCTGCCAACATGGCCTCTGAGACTAAGGGTGGAAAGGTAAGAAATGGTGGCTTCCTCTGCAGGGTGAGCCCAGTGTGGCCTCTTTTACCTGCCAGCCTCCGTGGGGCCTCCTGACCTCGTGATTGACCCACCTCGCTCTCCAAAGTGCTGGGGATTACAGGTATGAGGCACTGTGCCCTGCCAGCTCAACAGTTTTGTATACAAATACATACTGAAATAATATTTTAGATATACTAGATGATGTAAAATGTTACTAATGACACCTGTTTCTTTTAACTTTTTTTTGTGAGACAGAGTTTCACTCTCATATGGCTTGAGCTGGCTGGAGAAACAGGGCCATCTGGCCAAGCATCAGAGTCATCAGAGGCCATTTGCTAAAAAAACTCAAATTCCCAGGCAGCTGGGTTTTTGACAAGCATTTTGCTGATGCTAACTGGCCCGGTACTACCTGCCTTTTTTTTTTTTTTGAGACAGAGTCTTGCTTTGCCACCAGGCTAAGTGCAGTGGTGTGATCTCAGTTCACCGTAACCTCCACCTCCCTGGTTCCAGCGATTCCCCTACCTCAGCTGGGATTACAGGTGTACACCTCCATGCCCAGCTAATTTTTGTATTTTTAGTAGAGGTGGGGTTTCACCGTATTGGCCAGGGTGGTCTCGAACTTCTGACCTCAAGTGATCCACCCACCTCACCCTCACAAATTCTGGGATTAAAGGTGTGGGCCATGGCACCCAGCCAGAGCTACCCATTTAATTATTCCTGGTTTTCGGACTTCAGAGGACTAGCCCATTTTATACAAAAGGGGGCCCTAGGTAGACAGCTGGGATTCAAATTCAGGTCCTTTTGGCTCTGAGGTCGACCCTCAGCAGTCCTGGTCTGGGACTTCCCAGCCCTGCCTTTCTCTTCAGTGGCAAAAAGGCCTAGGTGTACCTTCCCAAGTCGGGCAGTGGAGGCCCAGGAGGGACCAGCCTTGACAGGAGAACAGCAGCAAACGTTTTATATACCTGCCATGTGCCGAGTTCAGTTCTAGAGTGGCACTAGCCACACGGGGCTGCTGAGCGCCTAAAAAGGCAGCAAATCTGAACAGGGATGTGCCTACATGTAAAATACACGCTGGATTTTGAAACACACTGAAAAAAAGAGTAATGATACCTCAACGATTTTTTTTTTCTGAGACAGTTTTCATACTGTCACCCGGACTGAAGTGCAGTGGTGTGATCTCAGCTTGCTACAACCTCTGCCTCCCGGGTTCAAGTGATTCTCCTGCTTCAGCCTCCTGAGTAGCTGGGACTACAGGTGCCTGCCACCATGCTGGCTAATTTTTTTGTATTTTTGGTAGAGACAGGGTTTCACCATGTTGGCCAGGCTGGTCTCGAACTCCTGACCTCGTGATTGACCCACCTCGCTCTCCAAAGTGCTGGGATTACAGGTATGAGGCACTGTGCCCTGCCAGCTCAACAGTTTTGTATACAAATACATACTGAAATAATATTTAGATATACTAGATGATGTAAAATGTTACTATGACACCTGTTTCTTTTTAACTTTTTTTTGTGAGACAGAGTTCACTCTCATATGGCTTGGGCTGGCTGGAGTGCAATGGCATGATCTCGGCTCACTACAACAACTCCAACTCCTGGGTTTTAATGATTCTCCTGCCTCAGCCTCCCAAGTAGCTGGGATTATAGGCATATGCCACCATGCCTGGCTAATTTTTTTTTATACTTTTTAGTAGAGATAGGGGTTTCTCCATATTGGTCAGGCTGGTCTCAAAACTCCGACTTCAGGTGATACACCCACCTCCCAAAGTACCGAGATTACAGGCATGAGCCACTGTGCCGGGCCTCTTTTTACCTTTCAACAAAGTCACTGAAACACTTCAAATTATATGTCTTTATATTTCTATGGAACAGTGCGGTTCCTGATTCTCATCTGAGCCCTCTTTATGTCTTTGTAGCAGGAAGTGTCTCCCGAGCCCATAAGGCTGGTGAGCTCATACCTCGAAGAGAATGTCCACCAGGGCTTTCTGGGGCTGCTCCTGCAAGTGGTTTGATGATACTGGGCCAGGGCCTGCAGCAGCTTCACTGACTTCCTCAGCACCTGCCTGGTACTGGTCCCCACAAAGGGGCAGAGGGTATTAGCAGGGACCACTACTGTCCCCCACCCATCCAAGACAGCCTACACCCCCCACCCCCACCGTCCTCCCAAAGTTCTCACCTTCACCAGCCAGCCTGATGAAAGAGGGCGAGCACTCTGAACAGGTCTGCAAAGACAGCAGGTCTCACCATTGACTAGAAAAGGATTCCAGGCACAGCATGAGGGGCCATTGGACTTCCCACCCCCAGCCTCGTCACCCC